GACAACTACTTCATTAGGTTATAAGAAAAGAAGGAAAAAAAAGCATAGGTTCATTACATAATGGGGAGAAATTCTGATGTAGATGAGATCCCTTCTAGCTGTACGTTTCTTCCTTATGACCAATATATATCATATACTACCACTCCAACTAAAAAGACTGGGTAAAAACAGTAACTGTGATTCTTTGAGATATATTTTTGTATGACTTGTCCTCCTTTCTCACTTCTATGGAGTCCTTAACAGAATCCAGAGAAAGAAGTAGGCCATAGTTGTGCCTACTCAACTCTGTAGGACCTGGAGCAGGGGTATCAAAACTCACCCTGAGCCCCAGACTGGAACCATGCAGCCAGCAGCTGCAGTCAGTTCATGGGGAGGCAGTGGCATGGGTTCATCTCCAGGCTACACAGGCCTGGATCTTTGTCACCAAAGACCATGTCCATTGGGGTCTAGGAACCCTTAATTCTATGATATGCTATTCTGGTAGGTTGCCAGACTGCTACTGGTAATCACTTCTGATAGGTTGCCAGATTACTAGTGGGCTGGATGGAATAGTTCTGCATTCCCCTGGGACACTCCTGACCTAGAAAAAGGAGTCAAGATGTGATGGGCTATACACCTCTATGTTTGTACCAAACTACAAATACCAGAAACAGCCACACAAAAAAAGTTTTCCAAATTCAGAAAATTTAATTTTGTTAGTAAAATGGAGTATTTTGGTACATATAGTTGTGAACTGTCAGGCTGAGTTACTTTATTTTTCTTTGTAGACTGAAGAGCAAATAATTCAGGGAACACCTATGGCTTGTGCTTATACAGGCAATCTAACTGAATGATTTGGCATTTGTATCTGTGAATCTGTCTCTACCAGTTCTTAATAGGTTTGATAGGGCTCTGTTAGTCTCATGTTTACTGACCAGTAAATACAGGGCCATAGCAGAAAAAGCAGCAGAATCTAAACAGCAAAATTTCCAGTTTAAAATTGCCTTTAAGTTCTGCTGTTATTCTAAATTTTTCAGTCTTTAAAATATTTAGTTACTAATAGCTGGATATTTAATCAGTAATAGAGTATTGACTTAAGTAATTTGGTGTTATATTTCATTTTCCTTGATTTGATATCTTATAGTCTGTTCTTTTACTGCCATCATTTAAATGTTTTGTTAGAAGATTGTGCATTTCTCTTAAAACTGCATTCTCCAGTTTTTAGTTTTGGAATTTTGTACCAAAATGCAGAGTTGCTGAATGAGAGCAGCTCTAATTAAAGCGCTGGCCCCCAGCTTCCAGAGCACATGTAAAAGTTCCCGTGCCAGTTGCAGCAGTTGGGGCTAGCTTAGCAGTGCCTGCAGCTGGCTGTACAGAGCCCTTTAGCCCCTGCTCTTCTACATGATGCCCTTGAGCCCCAGCCTGGGGGCAGCTTCCTGAGCCTGTCCAGCAGGGCTGGGGAGAAAGGTGGGAGCCTTCCTGGCTGCCCAGGGCTGGGTTGTCTCTGGGCCAGGCTCTCCTCCCTCTGCCCAGGGCAGGCCCACAGGACTATTCTAGGGCTGGAGTAACCAGGCCACTCCCCTGCAGCTGGGCCCCAGGTCCTGGGAGCTGGACTCCAGCAGGGAAAGGGCCCCTTCCTCTCCTGGTGCTGCCACTGCCAGGGGCATGGCAAGCCCCTGTGTCATGTGAGGAAAACTGAAGGGACTTAGCCCTGGGAAGAACAAGACCTGGCTGGGCTGAGGAGCTGGGGGACGGACCCCTGGGTACTGCAGGTTGAGTCATGTTGGTCTGGGTCAGGCAGCTAGGCCCACCTCTCCCTGCCCCAGTCATATCTTTGTGGCATTTGGCACCTTTTACCAGTGCCAGCCCACAGTCTGTACCGTGCCAGCGTTTGGGACACCGTGGCACTTGCTCCACTCTGCTCCAGCCCGGCCTGCCAGTGAGGAGGTAGAGGTGTGTCCGGGGTCACCCTGGCTCGCAGGAGGAAACCCAGGCATTCGGGGCCCTGGCCTGACGGTATAATTATCAAAAAAAAACCCCATCAGCTACAACTGCCAAAAAAAAGCCGGTAGCCAATAATGTCATTTTTCCTTTTATTGGTGCTGATCCGATAGGCAGACGATTATATCGGTGCACCTCTACTTGCAGGAAATTGCACTCAGCTGACATTGGGAATCCCAGTGGAGTCTAAGGGAGAAGACAGTCCCTTAGGTACGTAGGGTCCAGACCATTTCAGGGCTTATAGATAAAAATCAGCACCTTGAATTGCACCTGAAACGTTATTGGAAGCCAGTGTGTTCTTGGTGACCCGTCGCTATCAGAAGGCAGGCCAAAATGAATTGACTGAGAAACTAACCTTTCCTAGTCCTTCAGAGATACTGAAACTGTCATCCCATCCCATGTTATGATAGTGTTGGAGTGATGTTGTAGTTGTGTTGGTCCAGAAAATGGGAGGCTAGATTTTTTTGGGTGATTATTTTTTATTGGACCAGCAGAGATCTCAGACAAGCTTCTGAGCAAAGGGTACCCATTGTCAGGTCTCCATAACAGTACCTTTGGCCCACAAGCTTGTCTAAGATCTCTCCCAACTATGCAGCTAGTTCAATAAGAGATATCGCCCAAAAATATATCCCTTCCCATCCCATTCTCTTACTTCTATTTTAATTCTGGAAGCAATACTACTTGAGAAGGCTGAAGTTGATACCACATTTGATTGAAAGAGTGCTACTCCCAAACCTGAGTATTGTGGAACCAAGCATAGAAATACTTACATTAATATCTCAAGCTATGTGTACCCAAAACTAGTTAAGGGTTTATGCTCTGTAATAATCCTTTTTCATGTGAGATTTAGTCAATAAATGACATGACCTTTAAAACCCAGGTTCAAACTGTTAGTGGAAGGGACCTTGCCAAAAATGGAATTAAAGCAATATTATAATATAAATCATAGGATCATAGCTTTTTAATATGATGCTTCACATTTTCTTTCTTTGAATTTAAATGCTTTGAGTATAATTGTTTTGACATTGTCATCTGCTTAGTGTTGTAGGAAGCATTCTATTCTTCAAGAGAAATAATTGTTGTTTTTGCATGTCACCAGTCTTTCAAAATTTGAAGTAAATAAGGCAAACTTTAAAAATAATTAAGTTGTGAAAAGTGGAACCTTTTTTAAAAGTCTGTTTGTAGCTTGTCCATAACTCTTGAGGTGCTTCTATTAAAGGAGACAGTATTTCAGAGAGAAGTGAAACTAAAATTGGTTTTCCAAGAAAAGTTTCTGTGTCTAAATTTAGAGCATGCATTTTAGAGTCATCTTGTATATAGCCATTTGCACAGTTTCTTCTATATAATCTACACGTTATAGACAGGTTAGTTTTTCTTTATTTTGTCTCAGAATAGAGAAGTAAAAATTGATTGTAAACCAAAAAATTGCAAAGTATGTAGTTGTTTGAAACAGTCTGGCAAATTGCAGGTTGACCATATTCTTTTATTCTACTGTGGGTAAACAAGATAGGTTAGTGGTGAAATAACATATAGGTAATCTGCTATGGGGAAGACTTCTGAAAGTTTCCCTAATTTTACATACAAAGACGTTGCTGATTATATTTAAATGAGAAATGGAAACAACACCCTTCTTCACAACAACAAAAAAAGCATACGTTTTTATTAGAAGGAAAATATTGCTAATACATAAAAGTAGTTATTGGTCAAAGGTCTGATCCTGCATTTGGCAAAATGGGTGTGCTTTGCTATGTGGTGAGCCTATTGAAATCAGTATGATTTCATGCATGTTTGGCAGCCTACTTTTACACACTTAAGATGGGGGTCTAGTAACGGTCTCTTGAAATTCCATTTCATTTAGCAGCGTTATTGGTATACAACAGTTAACGTTTTCAATATATACTGCCTTTTGCTCAAGGATGTTGAAGCCTTTTAAAAGTGAATGGTATTATTCTGTAACTGGCTGTTAGTATTTATCCGATACACCCCTCTCTAGCTCCCTTCCAGCAAAGCCAACACATGCTCTGCTGACTTAGTGGTACAAGTGGATTATCTACTGGGATACAAGGGAAGTAATAGAAAATATATAAACAAGAGAGATGTGTAGGCAGAACTGTATCTTCCTGTTAATTTACTTTTAATAGAATTAAATCCACAAAGTGGCTGAGTGTTTGATGTTACTCAGTGTTTGGATTGATTTAGAATGGTATCTTAATTTAGAACAGTTTGGGAAGAGAGGCAGCTTCTCAAACCCATTTCCACATTTTGATAAGCTAAGGCAGAAAACCATGGCTTGAATTAAATGGTTTCTCAGTCTGAGGCTAAACTAACAACTCAAGAGCATAACCCAGGTATCCTGGCTTCTAGTACTTTATTGTATTTGACAGTGAGTCTAGATGATGCATGAGACCAAAAATAATGGGTGATTTCATGTGATATGTGCTGCAATATCTACAGTATGTACAGTAGAGTTGGCTAACACTTTTTATGAGTGCTTTGTTATTTACCTTGCCTTGTCCTTCTTTCCATCTTCTCTAGATCATTACAGGTTCCATTTCTGCAGCCCCAACACTAAATATCCTGTATTTTGGTAGTTGCATATCACACACGTATTTTTGTTAGCTTTTGCAGAAGTTCTGTTAAGATGCACTTCGTTTCATAATGTTTTACTGGTGCACTTAACTGCCATATCCCTGATTTTTTTTTAATTAAGGACAGAAACTTATACTCCATACCTCTTTAGGGATGGAAGGAGAGGATGGAAATAGTTATGCTTTAGAGAAGGCTATGCTTCCACTTCCCTTAATACTAAAGAAACAAGAAAGCTGAGGTGGTGAAATTCAATAAATGAAGTGTATCTTTAGTATCTAGCTTTATTTGAAATTTCAAATTCCTTGTAAATTGTATATAATAAAAGAGTTTATGGATGCAACTACTGTTTGCCTTTGTTGTTTTCCTTATTCTAAGATCTGCGAGAAATTCTTGAGTATTATTTGGTTATTCTGTTTTGTACTGTGTTACAGGAGGTTGTCTGGTACCATAGATGTGATTGGACAGACTATCACTATCAGCAGAGTAGAAGGAAGACGACGTGCGAATGAAAACAGCAACATACAGGTTCCATATTGTGGATTTATGCATCCTCTCACTGACCAAGAAAAGGCTTTTCCTTCTTTCATTCCAACTTCTGATTTAAAAAGTTTAAACTGTATTGAATAAATGATTTAAAGAGGAATAACCAAGGGAAAAGACAAATATTTAAATTAGCATGTTGCATTTAAGTCCAGTAAAATTTCTTTGCAGTGAAATCCAAACTGCATTGAAATATTTCATCTCACTTCAACATAAATAGGGACTACTTAGTTAAAAGAAACAGCGGTCCAACTTGGTCGTGATTTACGCTGCCAGAAGCCATACTGACTTGTTTAAGTCTGCATGGAATATAAACACAATTAAATGTAATAGTTGTCAGTTATATGGCAGTGTTATATTGAAAATTATGCTCTTTACTCCTCCCCAAAAAGTAATACTGATATTATTAAGAGAGTTCTCACATTCTATTAGGTAACTTAAGAATCCTAAAAATTAACTGACTTGAAGGAATATGTGGCTTTCAATAAATAAAGGCACTTGAATAAAATTCTTTCATTGTTTGACTAGCTCACACTATGTGTAATGAGGCATTTTGGTGCTGATTGTTCCAGACTAACTTCAAAAATCAATTTTAATTAGAGTTTTAATATTCTGTTTCCTTCATTGTATCACTACAGGGCAGTGTTAAAGCTTTCTAGATGCATTGACTGTATTTCCCTGTTTTGTCATCTTAGGATTTACTTTTAATGTAGTAGTTACAGTGCAGTTTTCACTCTTATGTTATTGATGAGTTTTCTCAACACTAACTCCAATTTCATATACAGTGTTGTTAAAGGAATTAAACATATTTTTCTTTTAAAAGTATAAGTTTTGTTCATAGAAAATTTATTTTAAAATGTTTTTTACATACATATATAAGACAGCATCTTGTGCGTATGTATATTCTCTTCCCTCGTGATAACTGGAAAGAGAGAAAAACCTATGTTCCAAAACTTCTTTATGTAGCAATTGTAACTGTAGTTTGATATTTTACAGGTTCTTTCAGAACGATCTAATGCTGAAGTAGACAATTTTACCAAGCCACCTCCATTTTTCCCTCCAGGAGCTCCACCTACTCACCTTCCACCCCCCCCATTCCTCCCACCCCCTCCAACTGTCAGTACTGCTCCACCTCTGATTCCTCCACCAGGTAAATATTTTCATAATTGAAACAAGGAAGTAATATTTCAAATACTTATTTTTTAATGAATTAAACATCTTTTAAAAGTCTTATTTGAAATGCTAAAATTTTATTCAGAACAGTTATTCTTTGTTCATAGCTGAAGTGGGAGTGGTAGGGTGGAAGTTTTCTTACATGTTTATAGAGATGAAAGCAATTTTAAATAGAAACATTTTGAATGTTGGGCCTTCCATCTCTGAAAGTCTCTCTCTAAACCTGGAGCCTTTGTGAATATTTGGCCCTTATTACCCTTACTGAGAGGTATATTTTAAAGAGGAGTTAGACTGAAAAGAGTTTGGAGAGGTGGATGCCAAAAGAGTTGCAGGGCTAGGTGAGGAAGCTCTTGAGCAGACAGACAGCTGAGTAGGAAGTCACTGCAGCAGGGGGAAAGAAATTGTTCTTCAGGAAAGAGACTGATTTAAAGTAAAGTAGAACTGGGAAATGCTCCTTTCTTTTCTTTCTTAACTTCCTTGCTTTTTGTCCACTGCTGAACAATTTTTCCTTCTATTCCTTTCCCTGACATTTCAGAGGACTTGCTCACCTGTCCCTTTGCTTCCTCTTCTGTTTGGTGCTTTTCTAGAAGTCTCTCTTCCAGTTCTCATTCTGTGTTCTGGCTTTTGTTAGTTTCTCAGTGGTTTGGGACCTTTTCATGGAAGACAAAGTCAGATTCCTTTCAGGTACTATTGAGCATTTTAAAACTATTCAGCATTTGTACACGTTTGCGCTGCAGCACCAGGCGCTTTTAAAAGCACCCAGTGCTGCAGCGCATCCAGTTGTATAAGTGGCGAAATGCATGTCAGTGCTGAGGAAACTGTGGCGACGCAGTTTTGAACTAAGACACATCAAAGGTGTTTTAGTTCAAAAGCACACTGCCACCATTTTTTGCTCAGCGACACGTATTTCACCACTTATACAACTATATGCAATGTAATGCAATGCACATCAGCTCACATGCAAATCTCCGGCGTGTCCTGGCATGAAAATATGTGTGTATAAATGCCCATTAGCTCCTACTCTGGCCTGCATCAAAAAACCATGAAACCTGAGAATGTAGAACATTAAACATGAAATCTTTCACTTGCCCTGGGGGGGTGGTGTTTAGGAAGGAGAGAGAGGACTACATAAAACTGTGGTATAGATATGCCCATATAGTCTCCAGTACTGTCCTTGGGCATTTATCATTTTTTTTATGGTTAAAGACGGTACTAACCACACTTCAATTTCAAAATGACCTTTGCATTAAAACAGGGTGACCCAAGATGTGACCCATGGAGCTTTGGCATCCGGCTCATGGGATGTTCCCACAAGTCTGGAAATTTGGTGGTGTGGCAAGTGGTAGCAGCATTAATTGCTGCAATTTTTGGAGCCACTGCAATTAAACACTGCCACCTCTTGTTCTGCTGCTAAATTTATGGACCCATGGGGAGCTCTGCCTTCTGTATTTGGAGTGCGGAACTCAATCATCTTTCAAGCTTTCAGGGATGGAAATTTGGTGGAAGGGTGAACAGTGGCTGCCATGGTTCCAGGAGCAGCAGCAGTTAACACTGCTGCCACCAAATTTGAGCTCTGTGGGCGAGATTGTGAATCCTCAGTCTAGGTCCAACCTCACAACCCAACCATGTGCCATTCATTCAGCCCATAGGGCTAGGTTAGTTGGGTGCCAGTGCATTAAAATAATGCATATACAGTCTTTTGGAACAAGTTTGAAAGTAATTATCATTTTCATTATTGTGATGGGGAAGAGAAAAACGAATAAGTGTTGCATAAAATAAAATTGAGGCTGACCTCCCTTTTTACCTACTAAGAGAGATGATTCAAATAGGTATACTGTAATGTTTTTTTATAAAACCCTTCACCTTCATCAAGATTAAACATTAAATGAAATAAACACATGTTACAGATCTATCAGGCAGGTTTGGCTTTAGTCTTATGTTTTACAGACAGGTTTATGACATGCACTTGCTCAGAAAGTCTCCTTCAACATCCTCTCCTGCTTCGAGTAAATTTGAAAATAACCATTAAGAGCTGTGGCTTTGGTTCCTTCAAGCCTGTGTTTTAATTGTGCTGCTGCCAGCTCTTTATCTTCAAAGCTGTTACTAAAATAGAATTTGCCATCCCTCCTAGGTTCAGTGGAAAAAAACCCCACTGTTGTTACCTAATATTAAACTGGGACTACTTGCCAGAAAATTTAAGTATTCCAAATATAAAACATCCTCCAGAAGCTCTTTGAAAAAGGATCTTGCTTTGAAGTTCTGTCTCTTGTACTTTATTCACTTACGCTCTTGTGATGCAAATGTCTTTTGAGGAAGTAGTACTGGCATTGTTCAAAAGACTGAACCTGGAAAGCTGTGATATACTCTAAGAAAAGTTATCTAATTGGCTGTGGCAAAAGGTGTTTCTTTAAGTGCTGGGCTAATTCAGATCTAAGAGGGAAAAAATTATGGGTACTATATGATAAAGATTTTTAAGTTTACTTCCTTTTTTATTTTAATATTGTATGTAAAAAGTTGTGCTTTTATGTACTTATAGTTTTTAAAATATTTTTGAATTCTTTCATTATCATTCAAGCAGACCACATAATTTTACAGTATTTCTGAATATTAAAAAGATCACATTATGGCACTGTTCTCTAGTGACAAAGCACATTGAATACTGTATTTTCTCATATACCACATGTCCCCAAAGACGGACGCCTTGTTTTTTGGAAAGACAGAATGAAGAAAAAAGGATTTTTTCCAGAGTTATGGCCTCACAGAGCGGGGACAGAAACTAATGTTCAGCTCACTCACCTTCCCTTTCCTGCTCAGGCAAAAGGTACATGTTTATCCTATTGTAGCTGAATTGTCAGCAACTCTTGGATGCTCAGCTGAAATTATAGCTGCTGGTGAAGACTGGGCTCCATAGGCAGATCTAAAAGTTTGAAAAGAGCAAAAAGCTATCTACAGGGATATAAAACAGGAGAATAAAGACCAGGATTAGCTAACAGACAACAAAATTGCCAAAGAAAGGATAGCTGTATTAATGGAATGAGGATTATTGGAGAGAGTAATGTTAACACTTATTGGAGTAAATTAGCAGTAATCAGGTAGTTTATAATGATCCATTAATTCAGTACTTACTTAGTGATACCTAAATAGAATTGCCACTGAGGCTGCTGGGCAGTTGGTTTTAAATGTTGGGTAGAGCAGGAATTAAAGTGGGGTGCTGCTACACCCCTGTAGCACCTCTCTCCCAGTCTGCCTCCTTGACTCTGCCCCTTCCTCCATGCAGCTGCTGGAGGGAACAGAGGGAAAGAAGCATCAACCACCTTATGACATGACATCTCCATGTTTCTATTCCTGCCAAAAACTTAGCTTTGTCACTTAAGACATGCACCCCAATTTTGGAAGGCTAGTTTTTGAGGGAAAGGTATGTGTGGATTGTGGTACTTGACAGGTTTGAGCTGAGTGGGTGAATTAAAGGCAGCGTTCTTGAACAGAATATTGTGAGTACAGGTATTCCTATGCTACAGTGTGTTTTTAGCAGGGTGACTTAACCAGGGTTGAAATGCTGTGTTACCATGTTGCTTCTGGTATGAGAGCTGGTTTGGGTGTCTCTGTGCAGAACTGTATTGTGACATGTACCCAACATTAGGTCACGTATACGGATATGTCCAGCCTATACATTCCAAAAGAACAAGTCAGTGCTTCAAAGCTGTCCTCTCTCAAAAGAAATCCTCGGCTGAAGATTTTGTCCTAAGAGTATTTTTCATATGTTGGATTCATCAGAAGTGAACAACTGGAGAATGACCTTCCTGATTTATTATATTATGTATTTTTAACACTTGGTCCATTGTGGAGAAGATCTTTTTACCAATTTCCTGCTACCATGAAATAGGGATGAATTTCTATCTACTGCCATGTCTGTTCAGTTAAATATTTTAAGTGAAGTAGTCTTTAACCAATGACACTTCCTTTCTTTAAGTTAACAATCTGAAAGGTGATGTTTAATATCATAAATACTGAAAAGATCTAAATTAATTTTTATTAACTTTTCCAGCTTTGGCAATCAATTCAAATATCAGTATGTATAATTTTAGTATTCTTTATTTAGAGATATAAAAAGTTAATTTAATAAAACCTTAGGATTTTTAGTATGTCTCTGTAGAGTGTATGTCTTAAAGGGAAAGTCTTTTTGACCTTGACTTAAGTGCAGCATTTTAAATGTATGTATTTTCTTGATTATATAACTTAAACCTATGGGACTACTTTTTTTCCTAAAAAGTGTTTCCTGATGGTTTTTATAGCTAAAATACTGTATTGTATAGTGGTGGGGGGGAAACCTGATACTTTCCTGAAACTTGAGAGAATGCACTGTTCTAGCGCAGTAATTGACAACGATGTGGAAATTTGAACATAACTACAAATGTTAAGGTAAAGAGATTAATTATATAAGTCAGAAAATTCTAGAAGTTAAGATTGCAGGAGAGTCCTGTCTATGAGATGTTGCTGTTTCTGTAGACTTTACAGTATAGGTTCATAAAGCATTCTATATTTAAGTTTACATTTAACCAAGAAAAGTAAAATAGATATGTTCTCTGTATGTAACATACAGAGTTAATATTTCCATTCCTTTTTATCACTTGAATTTTCTAACTCATTTCCATGTTTTATCTCTGTGTTATACTAATATTGTCTAGCTTTATATGATTTTGTGGATTCCTAATAAGGGTGAGTGTAGGAAAAACACTAGTCCATTTAGACAGTGTAGAAGCTCTTCCAATTTCATTAGCAGATCTTGACGGTCTTTATCTCTGAAACTGATGAGTTGATATAATTTATTTCATATAAATTAACTAGTAAAGTAGTATTGTTAAGCATACTCTGTGTTGCGAAGGCTCACTTAAATTGTTTTGGATGATCACTTATGCTGCTACAGTGAATGCCTTTCTAGAAGCACAGTAGGGTCCAGTTAACACTATTTTAGCTGCTTTAACTTCTGAATTCTCTGACTGTTCTGGTACCTTTTTAAATCTTCAATTTGGATTTATTTGTACATACATGAGAAGTATGGGACATTATTTTAAAATAAATGTTTGGTGTATTGATTATTTGGATAATTTGTTCAATTCAGTTTTTGAAATAGCTGTTGATGGAAAATGCATATTTTAAATTATCCCTAATTTTTTCAGTTTTTGTTTTTTGAGAATGTCCTTACTGTGTTAAGAATATTCACATCTGGAGTCTTGTAACAGTCTAACTAATTATTAGCAGATGTTTTCATATTGTAGTTGAGTATTTCAGACTTTGTGTTTTTATAATTCAAGGAACTTTCTGTAAATCCATTCATATTGAAATAACAAATCATCATCTTTCAAGCAGAACATTATATTCTGTTTTTAGTTATATTATAGACATTGGTTTTTGTTTTAAAACAAATATTAACTACACTGTCTTGCCCGTGGACTGTATTGAAGCAGTTCTTTAATACATTCAGCAAGGACGTGCAGGCTAAAGTTTTTGAATGTGGGTACCTGTAGTTGGACCCTTTATTTTTAGGCACCTAAGGAAAGTTAATTGACTTTCAGATATGGTGAGTACCCCTAACTCCTGCTGA